TTTTCTTTTTCTTTCTTTTCTTTTTTTTTTTTTTTCTTTTCTTTTTTTTTTCTTTTTTTTTCTTTTCTTTTTTCTTTTCTTTCTTTTTTTCTTTTTTCTTTTTTTCTTTTTTTCTTTTTTTTCTTTTTTTTTTTTTTCTTTTGTGTTTNGTCTTAACTTTGCGTGTCTGTCTTGGGTCTATTTATTCTGTTGTGTTTGGTGCTCCTAACTTTGCGTGTCTGTTTTGGGCTTCTATTTATGTCTGTGTGGTTGGGCTTTTCTCTGTGTGTCTTTTGGGTTTATGTTGTTTAGGCTCTATCTTAGCCTGTAGTTTGTTTTCCATTTTGTGTGTGTGTTTGGGCTCTATCTATTGTGTGTTTGGGCTCTATCTCTTTGAGTTTGGCTTTCCTCTGCATGTTTGGGTTGTGGGCTCTATCTCTCTATGTGCTTGGGCTCTATTTCTACCTGTGTGGTTGGGCTCTAAATCTATGCGTGTTCGGGCTCTATCTCTGCCTGCGTGTTCTGTTTGGGGTTCTATTCTCTGCGTGTTTTGGGCTCTAGGTGTGTCTGTTTTGGGCCTCTATCGCTGTCTGTTGTGGTTTGGCTCTATCTCTGTCTGTCTGTTTGGGCTACATTTTTTTCTGTGTGCTTTGGGTTCTATCTCTGTTTGTGTTTGAGCTCTATCTGTGTCTGTCTGGCTCTATCTTGCCTGTGTGTTGGGCTCTATCTTTGTGTGTCTGTTTGAGCTCTATCTCTGTCTGTGTTTAAGCTCTATTTCTATGGGTGTGTTTTGAGCTCTGTTTTGTGTATATGGGCTGTCTCTTTGTTTATGTGTCTGGGCCCTATCTCTGTCTCTCTGTATGAGCCTTATCTCTGTTTATGTGTTTGGGCTTATATCTGTCTGTCTGTCTGTCTGGGTTCTATCTATTCTGTCTGTGTTTTGGCTCTCTCTCTCTCTCTGTTTCTATGTATGGGCTCTCTGTTTATGTGTTTGGGCTCTATCTCTCTATGTGTCTGTCTATATAGGATCTATCTCTGTCTATCTGCATGGGCTTTATGTACGTGTTTGGGCTCTGTCTTTTTGGCTCTATCTCTGTACACATCGTACATTTCGTAAATTATCTGCCAGTTATCTGCTAGTATATATATATATATATATATATATATATATATATATATATATATATATATATATATATATATATATATATATATATATATATATATATATATATATATATATATATATATATATATGGTAATTTTCTATATTACCTCTGCCACTCCGATATCGATAATTTTGGTATCGTTGGATTCCTCTCACTCTATACAATGCAAACATGTAGGTTTTATTGCGCGGAAACCCCCCAAAGCGACAAACTTGGCCCCGATAGCAGGGGAGGCATGAAAGCTTCCAGGGAAAATGCGGGGTTAAATAGCACTAATAATATAACGCACAGTGAAAATAACCATGGCTATTCACATGACTTTCCATTCCACTTGCGCCCCCAAACCCCCGCCGAGGAAACAAAACCTCCACCACGTATTCCCGGCAGGCTAGAGCGTTACACAATCATCGTCGATGTCGGAGCGGCAGCGTAATACAATTACCTCGTAAGATTCCACTGAATCAGCATATTAACCTTATTATAGTCAGCATTGTATATAGAGACGATTGTAGTATAATCAGGAAGAACAGGGTGGCCCGCCCTCGTCGGCGGGTTTGCGCCTTTTCGATGTTACACCGATGGCCTCAAGGTCGAGTTTCCCGTCCTCTGGAATAACGACATCCGTATTCCTAACCGAAATAACCGTCGCGTTCAGTACTTCGCCATAGCCGCCGCGATGGCCGAGTGTGCTGCAGCGTCGCTTTATCCTCCGGCCTAGGACCTCCTGCCGGACGCACCCTGCCTTCTTCCCCTTCTGCGGCAAAGGAGCGCCCTCCCCACTATTAGCGGCATCTATCAATCAGGTTAGTACCTTAAAAATCCTAGGTTATTGTAGGTTATCGGCTCCGCATCTAGTTCGTGGGCGCTCTATCCTGCCGTGAATACGTGGTGGAGGATTTGTTTCCTCGGCGGGGGTTGGGGGGCGGCAGCCCCCCCCCTTTGGGGGGTCGCAGGGGCACAGCCCCCTGCAATGGAAAGTCATGTGAATAACCATGGTTATTTTCAGTGAGGTTATATTATTAGGGTAATTTTATATATTACGTTCCGCCGCTCCGACATCATCGTCCCTGCTAAGGAGCCAAGTTTGTCGCTAAATGGGGGTTTCCGCGCAATAAAACCTACATGTTTGCATTGTATAGAGTAAGAGGAGCGAACGTAACATAGAAAATGGTAATTTTCTATATTACGTCCGCCGCTCCGATATCGACGATTTGGTATCGTTGGATTACCATATATATATATGGCAATATAGAAAATTATATATATAATATATATATATATAATATATATATATACATATATATATATATATATATATATATATATATATATATATATATATATATATATATATATATATATATATATATATATGTATGAACCTCTACGCCATGGACACGCCCACGACACTGGCATCAGGCCGCTGAGCTGAAGTCCTGCCTGTCGCCGCGATGCGTTCGTATCTAAGTCCTCCGTCTGGGGGAATTTATGGGCTGTAGAAAGGGGCATTAAATCACTTTTTTATTCTTTCTCTCTATTTATCTTCTTCTTCTTCTTATCTGTCTCCCTCTTCTGCTTGTCTGTCCCCGTCATTTTCCTTATTTTCGTGTTTTTTCTTTTTCTTATTGTTATTATCTTCATCTTTTTCTTTTTCTTCCCCTTTCCATTTTCATCATAATCGCCATCATCATATAAATTATCCTTGTGAAGAATTCGGAGCTGTAGTGAAGAATAAATATTTTAGTAGCTGATGATAAGATCAGCTTTAGTACCTTTTTAAATATTTTCTTTCCTTTTGCGATTAATTCTTCTTTAAATTAAGGGACAGCGGGACATAAACAGGGAGATGGTTTCAGCGACACACACACACACACACACACAACACAACGAACAAGAATCGTAAATGGCGGCGGTGAGCACGTTCGTCTAGCAATCTTGCGGACCTGCGTTCGATCCCACGCCCGGCCGGTGAGTGGTATCCCCGGCCGCTCCTTGCACACAGGGGGAGATTTGGAAGCAGAATAAAACAGACAGCATGTCACAGCAAAGAATAACCATTGTAACAAATGGAATTAAAACTAAAAAATAAATAAATAGATAAAATTGTAGCCTTAGTGAATGAAGTAGTTGTGAAGTGGAAATATAAATGGCAAATATGAATGGTAATAACACTCACAGTCACAAATAAACACAGACGCAACATTGTAGGAGAATTTTGGTGGTTAATTTAATCAAAAACTGGTTTCAAAGATATTATTGAGATATAAAGCAGGTGTATTTTTATTTGATTTCCTGTCGCGGTGCATTTATTACTCTATCCAGACGAGTTCATGGCTAATTAATTGTAATATAATCGTGCTATCTATATTAGTCTAAATTCCAAAGCCCACCGAAACAACTTAATACAACTAGTATCTAATTCGCTATTAACAATACGCTGTTTTATTGGTTTTAATCTTGTATCGAGTATAATCGACTTGACACTTTATTATTTTATGATTAATATAGTTTGTATTTTTCACAATCTCTTCATATCTTTCTTCTTTCCTGTTTTAATGTAATTTGTGTTTTATATAATTTCATATAAGATGTATATTGTTAAAATATACATGAATGTGCATATGTTTAATTCAAACATTACAGAATTAAAATTAATTCTCCCAATCGTAAATGAACTGATTGTTATAACAAAAAAATCCTATTAGTTTATATCTTGAAGAATTTTGCAACAACGTCCTTCTTTTCCATTTCGGTTTACGGGTTTAAAGTGGTGCCGCGCCTAAAAAAACAAACCCCTCTGTTGCCCGCCAACCCCTTCGGTGTTGACTTTATTGCTTCAAAGGTCTTTCCTGTATATCCAAATAATAACCCAAAAACCAAAAAAACCCACCAGTGATGACGAGAGGGTATCAACTTCGAATAACCAGGTGGAAATATCCTAATAGGCATGTTTATAGTCGTTCCAATCATAAATAGTAAGTAGTACCAACCAAAACCNCTCTCTCTCTCTCTCTCTCTCTCTCTCTCTCTCTCTCTCTCTCTCTCTCTCTTCTCTTTCATCTCATCTCTGTCTTCTCTCTTTCTGCACACACACACACATATGGATATGCATTTGTGTGTATGTCCATGTAAACACACGGTCACAGACATATATACACACACACCTACTCACACACACACTTACAAATACACATACACACACACACACACACACACACACACACACACACACACACACACACACACACACACACACACACACACACACACACACACACATTTACATACACACTCACATACACGCACACACAACACAAACATACAAATATAGAAGCAAACGCACAAACAAACAAAGAAACACATACACACATCACATATAGTCACATCAAACATACAAATATAGAAGCAAACGCACAAACAAACGCACAAACAAACGAAGATTTTTTTTTTTACATCACACATAGTCACCTCAAACATACACATATCATACATACACATATCAAACATATACAAATATAAATACACATACTCACATCACACATACACACATCGCACATACACACATCACACATACACACATCACACGTAAGCACATCGCACACACACACACATGCAAATTCACAAAACGCTGTCATTGCCGAGTTTATTTCTAAACAAAAATACCGTAATTTTTATATTTTTTTATCATTCTTTCACATTTGTTATCATTTTTTAACATTTTAAAATTTTGAACATTTTTTTTTCTTTTTTTAAGATTTTGAACCTGTTTGATCATTCTTTAAAATATTTTAAACAATATTGATCATTTTTATATTAATATTAAAACACACATATATATATTGACTTATTATAGGTCTATTATTTATTTAGGAATCTATATGAATTTGTACACGTGTATTATTTTTCATGTTTGCCTTTAATATGTGTCTTTTTAGCAGTGGCTGTCGTTGTATATGTCTTATTCTTCAGGAAGAAGTAAGTGGCGTTGTCATCAACGTAACAAGTATGGCAATGATACTGAAAATTATTTGTGTTGCTCATATGTTAATGAATGTGTGAAAGATTTAAATATATCTCCTAGTATTCATTGAAATAAAGATAACGAGGAACTCCCTCCCACAAGGCACCCTGCACTCCCTAAAGGCCGTGAGCTAAATCAAGTGCTCAGGTACCAACCCAACGGCACCCCAGTCCTCGACCTGCACGGCATGGGACGGCGGCAAGCTCTGGATTGGATGAATTACTGCTTTAGGCAATGTGGACACGGCCTCACGCGAATAATCACTGGACGAGGCCTGCACAGTCCCGGTGGCAGGCCGGTGCTCAGGGAGGCCGCCATGGACTACTTAAAGAAAAAGGGATATCAATTCAATTTTGTTCGTGATAATACAGGGTTTCTTGAGGTTAGGCCAGGCAGGAACTGAGTTTGATAATGGGGTGGTAAGTATTATGTATGTTATTTGAAGGCCTTTTTTAGCATCCAGAAAATCCAGACACTTTACATGCTACATATTTTATGTTGTATCATAGTATCATAAAACGTTTTGAAAAGGAGAAGTTATTTTCTTAATTTCACAAAAGGTCAATAGAGAGCCATTAACGTACTTTATATTAAGTACGCGGTCGGGACGCTTTTAATGATCTTGTTCATCGTATTGCTATATTTCTTGGTCCAGAATATAAGATTAAAACAAGTAAAATTAGATTATATGAATAAGTTGTTACCAATAAAAAATACCGCAATTACGGTTGAAAGAGATGCTGGCAAACTGAAAGAAAGCTTTCAGTGATATAATAATGATAATTATCATTATGATTGTTATCATCATGCTCATCTTCATTATTATCATTTATCATTAGTAATAGCAGTATCATTATATATTTCTATTACTTCTATTATCCTTATTATCATATCATTATAGTAATGATAATACTTATGATAATGAGCATAGCAACAGCAGTAACATTTATATCAACAAAAATAATAACAACAATAGTAACAAATCAAACCAAACAATGAAAATGCTAAAATCATATTAATGCCATGGCAAAGAATATAATGATGATGGTGAAAATAGTAATAGAAAAAACAGCATATATGATATATATACATACATGTATATAAATACATACATATATACATTATATATATTATATATATATATATATTATATAATATTATATATATATATTATATATATATATATGTATATATAATATATATGTGTGCGTGGTGTGTGGTGTGTGTGTGTGTGTGTGTGTGTGTGTGTGTTGTGTGTGTGTGTGTGTGCGTGTGCGTGTGCGTGTGCGTGTGTGTGTTGTGTTT